AAAGTTCAGGTTTTACTATCTGTTCATAGCACTTTTACTGTTCCTTTGCAATAGGCTACAATACAGTCAATTCTTGTTAACTCAAACTTGACAGAACCTTTTAATTTTGTTTTAATTATCAAGAAGCTTGAATTACCGGAAGCTCTCGGATAGATGACTCCAGGTAGGGTGACACCACACATTACGATTAGTTATTGATATAAACACATTTAAAAATTGTAGGTGTTTTTAAGCACTAAGTGCACACAGTGAACAGAAAGCAGAGGTGAAAAGACCACAAGTTTATTGACCGTTTACTACTGATTAGACCATTTAAAGAAATCGTGAATCGCCAACTGCTTTTTTGCTATAGTCTGTATGTGCCTTCTGCACAAAGCTCTCTATACCAGTTGAGAAGCACCACGGTTTTCCATGCGTGTGCTACGTTTGAAACATTTGTTTATTTGCAAAGCCTTTTCCTTGAAGGCCGCGGTAGGTGCTCATTTTTCATTTTTAGACTACAATCAACTGCCGATTTTTCGGACATGCCCGATGATTCGGACATCTTCGCGGTATCGCCACGAGCCCCGTAGAATCAATGTATAAGGAAGTCTGAAATTTCGGACCCTCGAACCCCCCGGATTCCGATTTTCCGGATTTTTTGACACGATGAAAGGTCGGAAACCACCACTGACCTCCAGTGGAAACCACCACAACTGCGTTCCATGCGATTACGATCGCATAAATGAGCGTGTCGGTCTACTGTGGCGGCATCTGTTGCTTGGACTTGTTCATTGTTAGCTGAGAAACACACACGGCTTCCGAGATTCCTAACACTGGCCGTGTTTATCGTGCAAGGGTGCTTCGCTGACAATCGAAAATATCCACCCGGAAATTTTTTAGCGCCGATAAAGTTCCTTTCGCTTTAGCGCTTGTGCTCGTGCGTGCCACTTTGGCTTCCCGCGCAGCGCTTTCGCGAAGCTTTTCACCACTTCGAACTAGAACTAACCGTCACACACCGATTCGGTCTGGCCACGCTGGCTATCTTGAAAGTTTACCAGCACCACCTCCAGAGTAGCCGAGGCACCGTCGCCTGCTGTCGCGCCGTTTTGTTTACGCAGCCCACATGGTGTTTGGCTAGCCTAGCGCGTGGTTGTGAGATCGTGTGAAGTGTGCTCTGCAACGCAAGCCTAGGTGCTTCGACGCTCGTCAGCAAACTCCTTTGTTCACATCGTGAGGATTTCGCTTGCCTGCGATGGCCCCCACTCCACCTTCGTGGTCCTCGCCGATGGCATCGAAGCGCGGAAAACGGTACCGTCGGTTAATGATGGACAAGAAAGACGCGATGATTTAGTTAGTGAAGAGTGGCCGATCGCAGGCTGATGTGAGCAAGGAGTTCGGCATTTCCAAGCAAACAGTTTCCGATTTCCTGAGGAACAATGACAAGATCTTGGAAGCGGCCGAAAAACTGTCTGGTGCCCAAAAGATGAATGCAAGCCAAGATGTTCATCTTGTGGGGGTGCTGACACTCTCAGTAAAGTTGTTTGCGCCGTGTGGCGCACGTGTCTCGCCCCAAGGCCGCGTTTTTAATGACAACTACCAGGCGATAGGCGGCGTTGTGTTTGCGTTGAGTACCACTGTTGGTAGAGTAGTAGCGCCGGAAGTGACCCCTGGCGGAAGGCAGGCCTTGGTGGCGGGCGAGAGTTGAGCGAGCTTCTTCTGCGTATAGCGGCTGCCGTGAACGATTGTCTCTAGCGTGGGTTGGCTCGGCGCGTGACACCGCGGGCCTGCGCGCCGGGGGAGGGGGGGGGCCCACGTGGTAAGTCAAGCGTTGGCGCCGCCGCCTTAGGTGTGTTATGGTGTCTGTCATGTTATTGTGTTTTGTGTGTTACTGTATTATGTTGTTTGTGTGGTAGCGTGTTAATTACAATTGATGTAACGATTCGGCGGACGATATCGTCGTTCAAAAGTAGCTAAATAAATGTGTATTGTTCTTTGGTTTGTACCGACCGCGTCTGCTGTGTCCGTTCACTCCAAGAGCATGGCGAGGTGCTCGCTCGCCAATTCAAGACCCCACACTGGCTGCCCGACGTGGGGCTCTTGGAGTATCGGACGACAGTTTTTGCGGTTCGGTAGAAGCTTTTGTTAGAGCTGGGGAAGAGTAGGCCTAGGAGGGACTTCTCATTGCTAGTGTTGGCGGCGTGATTTGTTGAGAAGCGAGGAGATTGGATTTGTGACGTGTTTGAACTTGTCGGCAGGTTGAGTTTTTATTTTTTCCTCGTTTGTGTTAGTTTTCAAAACCGTTGTTGAATTAGGACGAGAGCCATGCGGTCTGCATCCTGGGGTGAGCAAAGCCTAGAGCACGTGGTTTGTAGGCCGGGCCCTAAACGAGCGAGTACTGAAGCCTCGAGGGTGGTCTGACTTTCTGTAAATAGTTTCTTCTATATCTTTCAGCTCAGGGAGCCGGGCATCGTTGCTGTCTTGTATTGCGGCTCGAGGTCGAGGCGTCGTGACACCGCCCGGGGCGGGGGACGCCGATCGCTCGGTAAGCTGCTGTGTGCGGCGAGCGATAGGCCCACCTCACAGAGTGGATGTCTCCTCGCGGCTGCCTCTTCTGCGCCTAGGCTGGGTGGATTCCAGTTGTTGCCGAGGGACTTCATTAGGCCTAAGGCTCTGCGCAGCCGCCTGTCGCACGTGGCACAACTAGGTGGATCGTGGCGTTGAGGTGTTGCGCTCTGCTTCCCTCACTTTCTTTTTATCTTGCGATGCACGAGTTAGCAAAAAGTGACTTTTGTTTTATTTTAATGGGCGTCTCGGCCGCCGCCGATTTATTAGCTAGCTGTACTGACCATCGTACCACGTGGCCGAAAAGCCCGAAGCTCCTTTCATTGGCCTTGCTCTACTGTTTCTGTCAAGTTTTTTTATGTAATACGCGGGAGGGATCTCTTCCACGGCCGGCTGTCTTCTGCGCATCGTCAGCTTCGCTGGCCAGGAATGTGGTTGTGAGGTCGGGCGATGGAGATGCCTGGGACCTGCGAAACTACCTGCAGTCCGGCGCCCTCATGAGTGCTGGTCGCAACTGAAAGACGTGTCGGCGCTAGCGACGGTTCGTCGCGCCGACGGCATTGTTGCTGTTGCGGGGCCGGTACTAAGGTGAAGTCGAGCCGGACAGTGCAGCAGTGTCGACCAGCGGCGGTGTCGTGGTGCAAAGACATTATGATCATGCGAAGTCATTTTTTTTTTGTTAAAGCTTGTGTAGCTAATTTTTTATTTCGGGATATGGTTTGATTTAAGGTTGGGAGAATGTGGGGGTGCTGAGACTCCCTGTGGCTTAATTCAATGATTGCCAAGCGGTTGCCAGTCTCGGGCTGCATCTTGAAACAAAGGGCGGAAACTCTCGCGCTTCGAATGAACATCACGGATTTTGAGTTCAGTGATGGATGGCTGAGAAACTTTAAGCATCGGAATGACCTCAAGTTCAAGAAGATGTGTGGCGAAAGCGGCGCCGTCGACAGTGCAGTTATTGCGCAGTACCGCAGTGAAAAACTCCAGTCTTTGTTGCAGCAGTTCTCTGCTGACAACACTTTCAACTGCAACGAAACTGGCTTGTTTTACAAGCTGCTGCTGGCAAGAACACTTGCTTTTGCTCGTGATGCATGCCATGGTGGCAAGCATAGCAAAGAACGGCTGACCGTTCTTGTCGGCAGCAACATGTCTGGCAGCAAGAAACTTCCTTTGTAAGTAATCGGGAAGTCCAAGAGCCCGAGGTGTTTTAAAGGGGCTACGCTGCCAGTGTTATACGAAGCCAACAAAAAGGCATGGGTAATGCAGCAGTTGTTCAAGAGTTACGTCCGCAGGTTGGACAGGAAGTTTGAACAACAAAACAGACGTGTTCTGCTCTTCGTTGACAACTGCGCTGCTCATGGCCACATCAATAACTTGAAGGCTATCCAGCAGGAATTCATGGCACCCAACACGACCGCAATCCTCCAATCGATGAACCAAGGCGTTATCCGTAATCTCAAACTTTTGTACTGTTCACCTATACTCAACCGCATGGTGCTGTGATCGGAAAACGGGAAAGGCTACAGCATTGACCTTCGGTCTGCTGTCGGAATGCTTGCGGACGCATGGAAGACAGTAATGCAAGACACGCTTCGCAACTGCTTTTGCCACGCGGGCTTCGTACTTGACACAGAGGCGGCAGACTTGCCTGAAGAAAGCGACAGCGTGACTGACTTGTGCCCTCTCGTGGACGATATTATCAACGACCTCCGCTCTGCTGGTGTTTCCACGCCCACGTAAATAACTTTTGAGCGGTTCGTCGACGCTGACAGCGAGCTCGACTTCTGCGCAGAGCTAACCGACGATGAAATAGTCAGTCAGGTTATGGCGGATTCAGACGACTCCGATGTCGAAAAAAAAGGAACCATCGCCTGCACTACCTACGACAGCCAAATTGATGCGAGCGTTGATGACGCTGCCATAGGTGTACGTGATGACATGACCCTTGCTCAGATTGAGGCGAATGTGATCACATGCAAGCTATCGCCGTTCAAACAAGGATCAACAGGTTTTTCAAGCCACTGTAGCTCTAACACCGGCTGCCCTGATGGCACCTGCGGTCGGCTGCACGCATTTTTTTTTTAACGGCTCTTTTTAGAGGCATCCCACTGATGCTTTGGCAGAGTTTGGAAAGTCTGGTACTTTGACCTTGACCCTCTTGATCCGAGAAACATCAATGAAATGGTGCGTTTTTGCTTGCATTGAGAAATATTAGCAAAATGGTGCGTTTTTTTTTGCTTGCATTGAAAATTATCAGTAAAAGAATGCATTTCTTTGCTTGCATTCATTTGTTCGGACTGCCCGAATTTTCGTACGGTTTTTCGCTCCCTAGAGGGTCCGAAAAATCGGCAGTTGACTGTATTAGGATTATATAAGCACACAAATATTCAAGAGGAAAGGTAGGCAGATTCAAAAGAGTGTGCCGATGCATACGCCAAAACCAACAGCCGACTCACCTGAGCGAGGCGGTGCAGAATGCTGACCTCGATCTGGCCTTGGCGAGCGTAGGAAGGGTGGTTCTTGAGGATCTTGATGGCCACGATTTCGTTGGTGCCCTTCTTCCAGCACTTGACCACTTGGCCGAAGGTGCCCCGGCCCAGAAACTCCAGCACCTCATACTGATGCTGGGTCGACTGCAGCACCTCATGCTGTACAAGCTGGTAGTCACCCTCGGAGGTGCTTGCCTGCGCAGTCATGGGCCACCTTAAAGCACCCCTTCCACAAAAATAAGCAGCACGCTATGCATTTTCAAGGCTTGCTAACACTGCACTAATGGCAACAATTTGAAACTCTGCAAAAAGTTTATCTTAGGGATCTGTTAACTCTTATTTAACTATGCCTTCAAGTGTACAATTTTAGACAGCAGCAAAAAAATAGTTATATTACCTTCAATGCAAACCACTAACTAAATGTAATGCAGCTACATGTGAGAAGCAATGTGGAAATGGTAGATGCTCGTTATGTGGCAGCACAAAAACACTTGAACTCCGCCAGACAACTTGGTGCACTTTGAAAGGCTACAAGGCAAAAGCCGGTTGCATGCAATGTTTTCCTTTCATTCTGTTTAATATGCTATAAGTCTATCCCAGTACGGATTGGCCAAGCGGTCAAAATATTGAAGGACCCTTAAAGGGGCCCTGCAACACTTCTTGAACACGGTCAAAAAATGCTGCCAATCGGTAGTAGAGGGTCCCGACCACACGCGAGCCAAATATTAGAGCGCAGCACGCGGCCTGGAATTCACAATGAATTATCAGCCAAAAATTACTCTCTTCTCTCGACAAATGACAGAAGAGGCTCAAAAATCAATTGTAGAAAGCCCATCTATCAGCCATTAGCTGATTTGAACATGGCGCGCTCAGTCGTTAGAGATGGCCACGGGAGGCCGCGACTTGTTTATGCATGCGCGATCACTCTAAAAAAGCCGCGCATTCAAAGAAAAAAGAAAAAGGTACTCAAGGTCCCGAGGCGCGCGTGACATATTTTCTTTGCCCCTGCTATATCTATCTCTGTTCAGCTTATAGCCCTTTCACCGGCAAGAGAGAAGGGAGAATGCAATTCCAGCACGAGACAGACCTTTGCAACTCCACTCGCACTGAACAGATTCTTAAAATTTTTGCGGCATTGAATTCGTAGAGCAATAAGCTCTTCTAGTGAATTCATTTCATGGTAACTTGAGAAAGTGTTTCAGAGCCCCTTTAGGCTTCTAACGAGATTGCGATATGCTGTCCCTGGTGCTTACTTCAACCTCTTAGTGCATGCTTTTTAATGTATCACTATGATGGGAATTGTCATGACAAATTTGACATTCGCATAGCGGATGAAGTCATCGGACAGAAGCACGGTGACAAAATTTTCGTGATGACAACGGTGAGGGGCGACATGAGGGACATGCGTTAGTTCGTTCGGGTGGAAACAGGGTGAATGAGGTTTGCCAGCATCCTGGTCGGGGTTTGTCCCGAGTGCCTGGAAGAGGTCAAGGATTGGAGCGGCCTGCTTAGCTTGATCTCAAGCTTTGACGGTCCAGTGAGCCAGCAGGAAGCTACCGCAGCCACCAGTTACTCTGTCAGACGTAGGCCCGAGTGGTTGGCTATGGTCTGCATGCCCAAGGAGACGACTGTAAATGACTTGGGTCGGCCCCGGACTTCAGCACCTACCACCTCCGTCGATCGAGCGTCGCCCTGCTGTTCGCCAAATTCCGGCAACGATAACATCCTCGTGCTCATATCTGTTGCGTCAGCAGTAGCGCTCACTGGTGAGACTTTTTGATTATGCTTGGACTAACATGTTTATGCATATAAGTTATTGTGGTAGGCTGTAAGTTCTTTGTTACTATTAGTGCCATTTGTTGTGTCTTACGTCCATAATCTGCTCAATAAAGCAACAAAAAAAAACGGCCTCGCCTTTTTTGTTAAGAACAGTGCCAACGCAACGTAATTTTTCTATCAGGTCTTCATTACAAATCCCATCACAATGATGTCCCTTGAGACTATAATGTAATTGATAAAGTTGAAAATGGCTTGTGTCAGTGAAGTTTTTGCATATGGCTGCATTGTGTGTAGCATGCTCTAAACAATGAGCAATTGTGCGTGTGACATGCTTTTGAACTGAATATGCACCCGCCACTATGCAGCCTTAAAGGTGCCCTGCAACACTTTAGTGACAGTCTTATTTAGCACCAAAACGCGTGCAGATAATGATTGCCAAGGCTAATGCAGCAAGAATGATGTGAATCGGTGCACGAAAAGTGAAGTTATCAGTCCTCAATGTTCAAAACTCGAGTAGACAATGACAAAAAGTACGTTCCCTTTCGCATTTATCTCAGCTGCTGATGTCAAAGTTCCCTTCTAATCACAGGGTGCCAGTAATGTCAATTCATGATGGCCTTCATACAGTGTACCTTGCTACCACTCTTTTTGATTGTGCTGTTAACATGATTATGACGAACCGCGTGCGTCGCATTGCAGGTGTGCTCTTCGTCCCACTGTGTAAGATACATACTCTTGCTTGTATGCTGGACACGTCTATGACAATGTGGGCGTCCACCACATTTCGCATTTTTTGGCTTGCTAAAAACGCGACATACATTTCCATGTTTAGTTGCTGGCATACCATAGCAGGGTTCGCAGACTATAAAAGTAATTGTCGTGTTAGTCGTTTTGAATATACTTTTGAAAATGCATCATTCAGAAACAGTAGTCATTTTTGTTCTTAGAAAGTATAAAAGGGATAAGAGTTGAACGCGATAGCGATACTCTGTTCCTAGTGCGTGCTTCAAACGCTTACTGCAATCAAATCTTTTTGAACTTGCTATGCATTCACTACGTGGCCTTAAGGGGAGACGCTCCTCGAAAAAGTTAATAGAGACTTGAAAAGTTTGTTATTAGTATAGTTTTTCATGCAGATTTCAAATATGCAATCATTTTTTGTGTAGCTGCTATAATTATTGAGTTATGCCATAAACAATAGCAAAAAGTTACATTTTTTGCGGGCACTCTTTTATGTACTAAACTTTCAGTAAAAGCACTGTGTCTGATCTTATTTGACTCTTGATAGATTGAAAAGTGCAAATATCTATATAGATATGTCACAGAAATATTGGAACCAAGAAAAAAAAATTGTATTGAATGACTTATTATTTTCAATCTCCCTTGAAACAATAAGCTAATATTTTCACAACTAATGCTGGTAGGCATTGCAATTTAGAGTAGATATTTGCATTCTGCATGTGTTGAAGAATATGTGTGCCAAGTTTCGTTACTATACAATGAATATAAGTTTCTAAAAGGCTGCCCGCAAAACGTGAAACTGTCAGAAAAAATGAAAATGAGAAAAACAAGTTTGAAAGTTCGCAAAGTTGGCATTTATTAGGAAATCATTCTTTTTGCATCAAATTGGGGCACAATGAAAAGTACCTTGCCTTGAATGCACTGCAAGTGTCTAGAAGTCCCCTGCACCATAGCTTGGTTCTTCACGGCTCTTGCGGTCAGTGTCCTCAACACGAGCTCTCTTCGCTGTGTTGCGACGGTGTGCCCTCGCTTGTGAAGTTTGCTTCAGGTTCATCTTCCTGGTGCGCATGACGTCACAGTGGTCACCATGTGTGGCCAGATCTTGTGAGGGGAGAATTCCAATGCCTTCGAGCACTTCTTCAAAGCCCCTGTGGCCTTTGTTGTACCAGAGTACAGCAAGAGCGGTGGCTGTCTCCACAGTTGTTCTGGAGGCGAACTTTGTTTTTGGACATAGCAGCCATATCTTGCTGTTCAGGGATTCGGCTGCATTCTGTGTCTTGCCATGAAGGCACCGAATAAGGAGTTTCTCCTCTGTAAGGCGCTTGTAGATAGGCATAATTGCCAATCCTTGAGCCTTTGTCAACAGTGGGGTGTGGCGTGGTGCAGGCTCCCCCAGTGCTTCCGCACGCTTGTGCTTGCACCACGAATTTGGTCCCGCGGGGCAAAAGTTGTAGCTACTGGCACCATCACTGGAGCAGCAATAAAAATACGATGCCCATATGGCAGTGTACATATTTCGGACACTGTCCTTGTTGCTCGTGATGGCGATCTTGTAATATGTTTGTAGTTTTATTATTGTCGCATCTTTCAGTTTTTCGCCTCGTGGCAGTGGCGTTGCCAATTTCCGTAGGGCAGTTCCCAAGCGCTTTGCAACGTGGTTCGTGCACTCTTCTTTGTCAATGGGGGTGTCACAGTATACATTTGCCTCGCAGACTGCAGTGTAGGCCTTGCTGACACCATCACTTAGGAAGCTGGTGAATCGCAGTGGAGTTTAATAAGACAAGGTCCTCTGCCATATATTGACAGCTGCCGCAGGTTCCATTGCATGGGATGAGCAGTCAGTTTTTTTTTGGCAAACTGGAAGATGAAAAGCTCGCCATATCTCTTCATCCTCCCCAAGGTCCCTGTGTATACTGCAAGCATGGCAGTAGTTCGAAAGAACTTCAAAATCGAGGCAGAGCCCCATGTCCAGGGACACGACTGTGCCCACTCCATTGTGGCTTTTATGACCTCTTTTCTGCCAGGTGCCATCAAACATGACTGGCACATCTCTGCCGCCGACTGCGTCCTTCGTGATGTTTCGTGCCTGGTGCAAGTTTTTGCTCACTGCCGTCATCGCCGCACCATGGAGCTTCTTGCAAATGCCGTTGAATGTCTTGTGATGCATCGGGCTCGGAAGACCGAGAATCGCACAAAATCGTGAAAGTTGGTCGTGGCCTGCGCCTATAGCGCGTGCTGCCAGAACTGCCTTCACGTTTACAGCAAAGCTGTCACGCGAGCTGCCGCTGTCAAAACGAGCGCTCGTTCCTTGGTCCCCGGCTGAAGCAGTACGTCTCGATGTGTGCGTGAACGAAAGTGCAGATTCAGGGCAATCAGAATTTTGACAGCACAGTTCGAGGAATGCCGAAAGTCCTTTGCGCTTTTCAGCTGCCTCTCGCACGCCGAGCTTCCGTTCGCGGCAGGTTGGGCATTGCGCACCCGCCACAAGTGCCGTCAGCGCATCGATTTCGCAAAGCAGCATGTTCGCAGTAGCAGCATCTACCGGTCTACGTTCACTCTCGAAGAATCCAATCTTCCTTTGGGATGCACTGACGAATTCCATGGCAGCGGCTATTTCACAACCACTGTCGCAGGGTTCGGTGACGGTGTTAGGCCTATCCGAAGTCGGAGTGTCGGGGCGTTGGTCGGGGGCGACATCGTCGTTCGCTGTCGCTTTGCGAAGCGTCCGACGTCGTTTCCCTCGATACTTGTGGCGAGTTCTGAACTTTCGATTATCTGAACTGCACTTCTTCGGGCTTGCCATGACGCAAAAATGCAGAGAAACGCAGAAAAACTCGATCGCGACGTCCGAGGCTTCGCTCTTTTGCCGGAGAGATAGGAGGGGGAGGAGCGTGGAGCGCACCGCCGTCCAATGGCGGCCTCGCGCCGTGTGCCGCGATATTCAAAACGCGTGACGTACGCGTTGTTTTTCTCGTTTTTTGTTTATTATGCGTGAAGGCACGAGACTGGCTACTAGTGGATTATGAAGGATACTGCCTTCGCAGCATGCGTGCACGATTGCAAATGGCGGCCAACGCGTCGTTTTCGCGACAGGACGACGCGAACTTCGCCGTTTTTCGCGACTTTCGCGCATTTCTCGCGTCACCGCTGCCCACTTGGAAGCATTTTTTGATAATTTCTCGTGCAAATTTCAGCTTGATATTTTCAGAAGTAATAGATTATAGTCCAAGGATGCCAATACAGCCGGAAAAAAAAAAGCGAAAATTTTCCGGAAAACCGCGACTTTTCGACCCGCGTCTCCCCTTAAGGCTGCAGTAGCGTGTGTGCGTTTCAGAGTGGGTGACTGGCTTTAAGCTATGAAGTCATTATGATAATCTCGTGTTCTGACGCTTGATGGCAATGTACACTTGTACCATGAATTATGACAGCAATATTTCATGTTGCATTGTGAAGAATGTATACAGGACGCATGTGTTTGTAAAGCAAGAAAGTTCCTATCCCTAAATTTCCAAGCAGAGCAAGTTATTTTTACTGCACTCACAAGCAGAGACGTGGCTATGTGGTAGAACACCCACTTGCTATGCAAACGAACTGGATTCAAATCAGACGCAGAATATTTTATTACTTAATTTATTTGCATCTTTTTCGGTTGTTCGGTCACGCAAAGGTGATAATTTTTCGCTCGTATTCAATGATGCCGATGTAAAATTTTTCTTCGAAACGAGCTCTTTAACCCTATCGTGTTAAAAACGAACGACCTTTGTCATTGTGGCACACGACATGACATAACTTCTCATAAAAATAGCTGATGTGCATCGCAGTAGCATGAAATCAAGGTATCAAGGCTGTAGCAGCTGCGATTTAAGCTTTGCTGCTAGCCCAACAATATCGGTGCATTCCACAGCACCACAAGAACTGATGAAAAAGACATGCTCAAATTGTACCACAGGGCCGCCCCCCTTAAGAAAATACACACAATGACGTGAATGCATTTTGTAATGGGTGGCTGGCTTTAAATCACAAGGTAGTTATGATAATCACATATTACAACACCGGATGGTAATGTACGCTTGAATCATGCAGTATTACTGCGATATCACACCTTCTATTTTGAAGCCTATATAAAGGACGCGTGTGTTTGGTAAAGCATGAATGCTACTTTCGCTGCATTTCCAGGAAGTTGCTTTCACTGTATTTAAAAGCAGAAACACTGTGGTAGAACAGCCGTTTGCCACGCAAACAGCCCAGCATAGATTTTCATTTCGACTCAGAAATTCTATTATTTATTTTATTTGCATTTTTATTTTTCAGTCATGCGCTAGATCACAACTTTCCACAAACTAATCACACCGATGCTGCAACAACGGTGACACACAAATTCCTGCGAGTGCCTGTGCATGTGCACAGGGACTGATTGACATCCTTCACACATCTGAAAAACAACAAATGCCTTCATTTTGAAAGATAAATTGTTAAAAGTATGGACATGTGAGTGATTGAACAAAAATGAAATTGCTGCTCAGAAAACAGTTACATTTTTTAAAAATAAATATATATCCTTCCAGTTCGCGAACATGCACTATTTACACTGCTTCAAACTTTTGTCATTAATCTGTTGTTGCACAGCACGTGCAGTAAGCCACAGGCTTGATGCTCTGCTCATCCACCACCCTGTCCACAACACCTGTTGCTCTGCTTGCTACCTGTCAACCCAATAAACCTGAGGATCACTTTACGTCACATCGACTACCTTTGTGCCAAATTACAGTAGACTCACAATAAACAGAACCTGAAGGGACCAAGAAAATACAGGGCTTCTGTTCACTAAGCCATGACAAGGCATGCTCGACACAAGAATTAAACCGACATTGTCAGCAGCTTCGCTTACGAGATCTCTGTTACCGAGAGTAATCGACAGAGCAGTGCTGACACGCTCATTAAGGTGCCACCCTCACTTTAGATGTGTTGGGAGCCACGGTGGCAGCTTTGTTGTGCTGGCGGCTGGAGCTTCCCCCGCCAGTCCAGGCAGCGTGTGAAGAGGACGACGAAGAGGGTTGGCGTCTGCTGGCTGCTGGGGCCGGCCCAGGAGCATGGTCCGGTGGCGCCCGCCGCTTGAGCCCCGCCCGCTTCAGCTCCCCCCCGCCACCCAGGGCATCCCAGTGCGGCTGCGGCTGCTGGCTGGACCGCGAAGACGACGAGACGTCGCTCACCTGGTTCTGCTCCAAGTCCGACGGGCGCTGGGCACTGCACACACACGACCTCTAACATCACTGCCTGCTCTGAAAATGCACAAGAGAGAATCTAGCAGCTTGCATAAGGACTTTTATCAACAAATTGCCAAGCTACTCTGAAAGCCAGCAAATCGATATTATGACAATGAACTCTTGACACTAGTGCTACACTTGAACCTCATTAAACAAACTTGCACCTTACATGAAAATAAGTTCGTTATATCCAAAAATTTGTTATAAAGGTTTATTCTTAACACTAAATCAATTGCCAGACTATTTTCCATTTACTTCGTTATAGCCGATATTTTGTTATATCCGGATTCGTTATATCAAGGCTTGAGTGTATAGGGAGCTGTAAGCGAGGCAATTCTGACAGCACAGGAATAATGAAAATAACACACTTGCCAAAGTTTTGTTCTTCTAAGCTATTAGTAATTACTTTAAAAACAAGCCATCTTCGATAGAATTTTGCAAAATAAACATTATTTGCCACAGACAAAGGCACATGCACATAGGTATTCCAGATACGGTCGGGTCTAAAGAAGCTGCGCTCATGGAACACACATTCATAGTAATCCTGTTGGGCGAATGAACATGCAGACATTTGCAAACCAGTTTTACATGACTGCGAGCTTGCAAGCCAGATCTAATTAATAACTAGTAACATCATAAATAATCCGATATTACGACAATACAACACACACATACAATGTAGCACGACACTGTCTCACAGACGTTTTACGACTTCAGAGCACAGTCTGCAGGCTGAAGCTGTAAAATTGCCCCCACAAACATGTGCGCATACGGCATTCATCGACAAATGCTGCCAAACCTTTAATGAGCAAGAATTCTTTAACGAGTGCCCCGACAACCTCGCTTCCCTTCAAGTGGCACTGCTGGCGTTACCGCACTAGCGCAGCATCTCGCGTGCAGCAACTAACCATGCCAACTAGGATGGCAGAAGTGCCAAGAGGCAGAAACCACATCACAAGAGGAGATAGCACCGCCCCAATAGTGTCAAACATGCTTTGATGTACAATTATGACCTTTTGGACAGATGTTACCATGAGTGCAGCAATATCGAGGTATGTGCGTCAGTGGTCTACAACCAGCACCAACTTTTGGCCATTCCAACCAAAACGTGCACAAGGCTATATACTCCCGGAGCAGTGCAAGCGATTCTGAGGAGCCATCAGCTTTGCCATTATAGAATATTGTTATAGCAACAATGAAAAGCCCAACACACTGAAAAGCGTGCACTGGCACGCCAGTTTTTAACTGCAGTTTTTATCAGGCCAGTGATGTTTAGACACGATAGACTTTGGCAAGAGTCAGGCACCAATTAGCACGTTGACGAACTTTTAAATCATGCCTACCGTAGGAAGAGCTTTTAAAGCTTGCTGCACATGCTCGATGCTGTCCACCGAAGACGGAAAGGTGGAGCACTCATTGATTGATTGATTGATTGATTGTGGGGTTTAACGTCCCAAAACCACTATTTGATCATGAGAGACGCCGTAGTGGAGGACTCAGAAATTTTGATCACCTGGGGTTCTTTAACGTGCACCCAAATCTGAGTACAAGGGCCCACAACATTTTCACCTCCATCGGAAATGCAGCCGCCACAGCCGGGATTTGATCCCGTGACTTGCGGGTCAGCAGCCGAGTACCTTAGCTACTAGACCACCGTGGCGGGACAGGTGGAGCATTCATGATGCCATAACAAAGTGGGTAGGAATTTGCCTGGAATATGATTCCCCATGAACTGGTAACACAAGAGCTTCATTTCAATATATTGCGATTGAGGAGGCATGACATCTAGGTCGACAGATGTTAGAAATTTGAGAAGCAGTTGGTGGCAAGCATTTATGACAAAGCTCAGGCCACATAGTAAGTCACTAAGCCCCTGTGATTGGCAGCCCCAGTAAATGCAACAGACTATTTGGCCAAGGAGAGCCTAGGGAACATTTCTAGTTTCTTAAACAGAAATATAATAATTATGACCTAAATTTAAATGAATTAACATGTTAATGTCTGAATTATGAAACTGCCAAACAAAATAAAAAATATTAAACTTTGAATAGCAACATTTAAATGATTTCGCAGCTGAATTATCTAAAATATAACTTTAACGCATACTTTTATGTATTGTCATGAATTCTCCATATGCCCCGGAAGCAAAGTCTTTGCAATGAAAAACATACTTTAGAACTACTTAACACGTTGCGTGTCACCTGTTACCAAATACATACACACCAAATAAACAAAAATAGTGGAGATAGAGCTTACGTCATACAGACGAGAAAGAATGAAGAAGTGAGCTGTTGCACACGGTTCACGCTCTCTGGCATCAGCTACAAAACAATTGGTTCTAGCATAAAATACCTTAGATAAGATGGCGTTCGATTTTTCATGCTGAAAGTTACATTCACATGAGTACTTGACAGCCGGCATTAAAGGCAGCACTCCTTTCGAGACTTCCTTGCTCGAAGGTTTTCGGTATGCATCGATCTTGCAACACTTGGCAGTAAAAAAATCAAAGAGAACACAAAAGCACCTTTGCTATCAGTGGGATCAACCCACAACCCTCGAATCACACATCCAATGTTCTACAATAGAGTCCGCTCTCTCATTCACATTTGCTGAATATTCACAAGCATTTCATCTCCTGGAGCGCTGGAGACTCAGAGCGAGGGCAGTCTGGAATGCTCTTTTCGCCAGACGGCGTCATGGCAAAATTAGATGAATGCGTCGGGAAATGGCGAGTGACTCACCAGCTAGTGTTCTCCAGCCGCCTCTTCTTGAAGCTCTGGTCCGAATAGACTTCCGAGGGACGGTCCAGCATCCCACTTGAGCCCTGCACAACAAAATTTGGAAACATCACAAAATGTTCTTCAGGCTAACACACTTGTGCACTAGGTCGTCCAAAGACTTGCAGGACTCGAAACATGAAAAATGCATTTGCAGTTTCATAAACACCAATTAGGAATCGGAGTATTGCAGTTTATATACAATTATAACCTAGCCTTGGCAATTTATGAGAGGATCATTAATGCTGGCTGGTGTGCTGTTGCAGATTTCAGGGTCGAGCTACTCGAGTATGTCAGCATTAGATGAAAGAAAAAGTTTTTTATCATAGCGCCTGTGGCACAGTCTAAGTGTAAGAAAGGGGGTAACGTATATTATGAAGCAGTCAAATGGCCTCCTAAATGAACGTTTTTCATCTTTTACTATTTCTTGTAGTTTTCTTCTTGTGGTAGCAGGGATTGAAAATAAATTATCCCATTGTTGGGAGTCTCGGACATGCACATGCTACATTATCCTCGCGTAATATTTTTATATTTGCTTAATAAGTATGTTTGTGAGCTACACAGGTATGACTGTTCTGAAGCATTGTTTTTGTTAAGACACCACATACGGTCGCCACATGCTAGAATAAAACTAAACAAAAACATAACACAACAAAAACTACTTTAGAATCGGCCTTCAGATTTTAGTTGATTTGGAGATTTGATTTGATTTGTTGGAGTTCCGCCACGAAATTTCCTAAGTAATGACTTTTAGTGAACATGGGAAAGGTTGCTTCTTCTTCAACAGCATATACAAAAATAACCCCTGCCTTCTCCCCGACCAGGCTTTTGTAGAACTAAATTGCCTGACAGTGGCTCACTGCGTAAGGCGAATTCGAGACACCCACCCGAAGTCCTTTATATGCAAACAACAACCATAATCATAAAATTGTTTTATTTCGTCATTAGGAGTGGCAGAACTTTTTTCATAACGATTGATTGAATTGTGGGGTTTAACGTCCCAAAACCACGATATGAGACGGCCGCATTTCTGCGTCCATCGGGAATACAGCTGCCACAGCCAGGATTTGATCCCGCGACCTGCGGGTCAGCAGCCGAATACCTTAGCCACTAGACCACCCTGGCAGTGCAATTTTTTGTAATGAATTACCCACAAATAGTAAATTGTACTCATAAATTCTTTTTCTGCTTCCGGTGCATAAAAAGCTGTTTCAGCTCCAAGCACATGCAGTGGGCTACTACGGGAGCCACAAATAAAAGATTGTTACATTGCTGATGCATTGGTAACAGATGCACATTTGTGTTGGAACACATCACGGAACACTATATGTATCAATTATGTGATACGCATTCACACCTTTCTTTCAGCAGTGGCTCAGAATTTTCTCAATTAAAAATGTGGCAATGAGAGAAGCTTTTAAAACAAAATTAAACTAAATTCTCGATTCTACAAGCCAAAACGACTTTATTATAAAGTTCACCATAGCACGGCACTCAAAGTAAATTTGTGCTACCAGGTGTTCCCTAATGTGCACTTAAATGCAAGCACCTGGGTATTTTTGCATTTTATCCATCTATCCAGAGCAAGATGTGGCATTCAAGGCTGGGAACCACAGCAACGCTATTGTGTTTCACATTGTAAAGGCACTAAGTCGCCATGGTGGGCTGGAGTAGTGTATGTTCTTGTGTTTTATATTTACAAATGCACATGCAGCACAGCACAGCAGACTCACACAGCCGTGGCAGAAGGTTCATCGCAAACAGTCGACTACTCCCCTATTTGCAGCTGCCTGCTTGCCTGACAGACACACAAATCAACACAATATGAAATATTCCTCCATTGTGCCGCTGGGAAACAAACACTCAACCTACATGTTCGATGCGAGACGGACGCCAGGCCGCTTGAGACTGACATTTATTTCAATGCTCGAGACTGACCGCACAAAAAGTTTAAAATAGCATAAGTCCCAACTTCCATTCACACACATAAAACACGTAACAATACAGCAGTGCTTAGCGTGATTACACGAGAGCTTGAACATGCGTGTCCGGATAATATATTTTTGCTTTGTATACTTTCCTTATGTTACATGGGTATAGTCGAGTTGCACGGAACCGAAAATTTTGTTTCCTGAAACCACCCCAGTGGGCCAAAAAAAAGTTTGAAGGAGGCAGTGCACGTGTCTCGCTATTGCTTGCTGCAACATTTCCCAATTTTGCAGGCGAATTTAATGCCCACTGTATATGATGTGTCGAAACTTTTTTTTCTTGTTTTAATATGCATTACAGGCGATTACATTCATGTTTTCCTTAAGCTGCCTGCAAATGCAAAACATTCTGAAAAAATGGCAAACTCGGTCAAAATAAAAAAGGCTTGGTATTTTTTATCAAGGCTATCCTTACTTCCCGCAAAAATTTCAAAAAGTACAAATATAGAGCAATATATTTTCAACACTCCAGCAAAATATTCTTTTCCCAGATAAGGCATGATAGAAAAAAAAAAAAAAGGTTAAAGAAGCGATTTTTTTTGTCAAAAAGTCTATTTTCGAAAAATCAAACAAGAGCAGTTCGAATTTTAACCAATATAGCCAAATTATGTTATAAGGTTTTGAATACATAACATCCTGTGCTTACGAACACTCGCTTGTTCGTGCTGCAGCAGTTGATATTCAAAGCAGATATATAAACACACACTATAAATGCGCAGACATGATATTGTCGCGAGAGGAAACGATAAACAGGGACTCGAAGGAAACGACTGTTTACTCAGCCACAGCAGTGACTCACTTCATCACTCTCTTCTTCTGCCACCAACACAGCGTGGCATTACCCTCTTCCCAAAGGAAAAAAAAAAAAAACAAGCATTGCATGAATGCCATGGCTCCAAAAACTAACGGAAGGTAGCGAAATATGTCTGTGTACAAAAACAAGAAGCGACGAAAAAATGTACAATTGTCTTGAAGGACAGTCCCACATCACAAAGTTCATGACTTGCAGTCAACGTGAATAGTACGGCTGGAGACATGAACCACATCCGAGGAGTTGGTCTACAAGAACGGTGCAACGTGTCTGTTGGGGCAACTTCGCGCTTGACTTGCCCCAGGGCGATGAAGAACTCGGTAGGCTCTGAAGTACCGACACAACAGTTTCTCTGAGTGCCCACGTTGACATATGGGAGTGTAAACTCAGACTAAGTCACCCGGTTCGCATGTTACTGCTCGGTGGTGGGAGTTGTACCGGCGAGCATCAGAAGTTTGCCACGATAAAATGTGAAAGCGCAAAAGCAGCCGGGAGTCTTCGGCACGCTGAACAAATACATCTGTGTCCGGGGTAATCATGTCTGGCACAGTTGGTTGCAGCATGGTGTCAAGCATTGTAGTGACGTCGCGGCTGTAAACCAGACGAAAAGGAGCAAAGTCGGTGCTTCCCTGAAGGGCCGTGTTGTAGGTAAATGTGATATACAGGAGGATTTCGTCCCAATTCTTGTGATCCTTGGAGACATACATCGAAAGCATATCTGCCATCATTTTGTTAAGGCGTTCAGTTAACCTGTTAGCCTGAGGGTGGCATGCAGTTGCTGCGTCATACCGCTCAGCAACAGAATTTCTCGGAGCCAATGGGCCGTAAATGCAGTACAATGATCGGTGATGACAGCGGAAGCACCGTGGCGGAGAACAATGTTCTTGATAAAAAAGTTAGCCACATCAGAAGCAGTTGCTCGCTGGGAGCCTTGTGTTTCGCAATATCTGGTCAAGTAGTCAGTGGCAACCACTATCCACTGGTTACCAGCAGTAGACTTCAGAAATGGGCCGAGTAAATCCATCCTGATCTTTTCAAAAGGTGCGCGAGGGGGTCATAAAGAATGAAGCAGACCGGCTGGTTTCGTCATTAGATTTTTGCAGCGTTGGCAAGCTGTGCATATCTTTACTTACTGCCAGGTGGTTTTAGTAAGTTCCCACTAATAGTATTTGTTCTTGATCCTCACCAGAATACACGTGAAGCCAAGATGCCCTGACGACGCCTTGTCATGGCAAGCACGCAAAATATCATTGTGGAGAGCAGAAGGAAAGACGAGGAGATAAACAGTTTTCATTGAATGAAAGTTGCACTTGTGGAGGATGTCTTGGCGCAGACAGAAAGATGACAAGTCACGCGCAAACTGACGTTGGGTTTGTGGGCGACGTCCCTCAAGGTATTCTATCAGAAGTTGTAGTTCTAAGCCATGGCGTTGCTGCTCAGCCACATTTATTGATGTGGAAATAGCAAGGCTGCTGAAGTCATCATCCTCGTCTTCTGCAGCGATCTCAATGGGTGCACGGGAAAGACAGTCAGCGCCGGCGTCTTTCTGGCCAGACTTCTCAACTATTGTTATATCGAATTCCTGTAACCGAAGGCCCCATCTTGTGAGACGGCTCGCAAGATCTTTCAGATTCGCTAGCCAGCAGAGAGAATGGTGGTCACTGACAATTCTGAAGGGGCGTCCGTACAAGCAGGGCCTGAATTTCCTATTGGCCTATACAACCGCAAGACATTCTTTTTCGGTCGTCGAGTAGTTCTCTTCGCATGACAACGTACAGCCAGCGTAGGCGATGACACGTTCCACGCCATCTTGATATTGCACAAGAATAGATCCGAGGCCAAGGTCACACGCGTCAGTGCGAACTTCCATGTCTGCTTCGGCGTCGAAGTGACCAAGGATCGGCAGCGTTTGTAGGCGTTGTTGAAGGTCGCGGAAAGTACCGGATTGTTTGGGACCCCAGGCAAAGGAGACGTCCTCCTTGACTAGTTGTCGTAGAGGGTCAGCGATTTTCACAAAAATTTGGAACGAAGCGGCAGTAATAAGCACCAAGGACCAGAAAGCGGCATACATCATGCTTTGTCTTCAGCATCAGGAACAAAGCAACCGCCATAGCCTTCTCAGGGTCGGGGCGAACACCACTGCTGCTGACAATATGGCCAAAATATTTGAGTTTCTTATATCCAAAATAACACTTTTTGCAGTTTCAGAGACAAGCCGGCGATGCGAATAGCCAGAAGAATCGCCTCA